TAAGACGTGGCAGCTTTCCAGATCAACTGTTCTTCTACAAAGTAACAATTTTGAAATTCATACTCATTTTGTTTTTTGTTAATTTCCTACATAATGAGCTAAAATTGATAGAAATCAAATCTTCAACATATAAATTTTGTTTCTTACCGAAATTTAGATAAACTATGTTGTTAATGCAGAACTTGTCCGGGCCTGGAGACCATAAACTGAGAACAGACTTAAGTCAAAAATTTTATCTTCAATATCTTGAGTTTTTTTTTATTTTGTTTGCTTAAAAATTTGGAGGTTTATATAATATTCCAATTTAAACATATGAAGAAAATCTTGTGTTCTTATGATTATTCCAAAAGTTATAGTGATTTGAAAATTCGACTTAAGTCTTTTCTCAGTTTATAGTCTTGGGGCCAGGATAACTTTTCCTAAAGCTTCATGAGCTGGACTGCCCTTTGTCAGCTTCACTTTTTGTTTCCTGTGGCATCTGACAAATGACCATGGGTACATGCACTGACACCCATTTTACTGTAAGGCAAAAACCACTCATGCTTATCCACCACATGGTGCAGAACACCATACCATGTCCCCTAAAAACAACCACATATCTTAGATAAATCATCATTTTTCACTTTCAGTCATCCAAGTTAAGTTTGATGGAAATTTGATACCTACATTTGTTCCATTTTTTCATATTATTAACTGAGTTTTAGTGTTTAAATGTGTAATGTTTAGATGCACAAACCATGAATTCTTCTACATAATGCCAAAACTGGTTAGTTCTTGTAAACATTGATTGCCTTTGTAATATTAACTTTAGAAACCTTCCATTTTTTGGAAATTGCAGACAAACAGACAGACAGATGGGCGGAGAGGGCAAATAATTATATACTCCTCAATACTTCGTTTTCGGGGGATAAAAAGTGGGAATCTTATTCCCATTGTAATCCTAAATGCAATATACTTACTACTTTATGTATATTTAATACAGTATTTTTTCCAACCCAAAATAATCCGCGAAAAAAGAATTGAGGCAGAGATTGTCAAGTCTCCATCATGAAGACCCCTATTTAGGACAAGTTGAGAGCATCACTTTTCACCTCCTCACCCCTGTTCTGTTGTAAAAAAACACAAATATGTTTTCAAGTTTCAAAATATTGGTTTTTATAACGAATTATTAATAATTACTGTACCATCTTAATGGTCTTGGATCAGGCTCATTTAGTTCTTCAACTTCGGACGTGATTCTTGAACACAGTTTTTAATACAATGAATTATTTAAATTGAATAATACATGCAGGGAGGATTAAAACCTTAAAATACTTGTGTTACCTAAAACATTTCAGATTTTGCAGAATTGTAATTTTACCACCTTTTGATTACACGGACGGATTCGCTGGTTTTCCTGAAAGGTGACACAGGTTAACGTTTTGTTAAAATTTTTAAACTAATGTTATTAGGCTTTTACAGTTAAGTTTTGTGTAGCACAAGTGGTCAATCAAGCTCCTGATCCAATTGGCGAGATCTTCACACTGCTTCTGTTTGGATGCAGCTAGGATCTTTTTCTTCAGACCTGAAAATAAGTCTTGTTTACAGAGTAGAATTAATACGTCCCATCTCCAACGGGCGTATAGAAATCAAAATTATTTTAATTGCTTCATTTGATCTTGCTGATTCAGACATATAAATATCATAGATGATAATAATAACTTTGGAGATAACTCAGAAAGTAAGTCATCATAAGAGTTAAACATCGGCAAATGTTGATTCCATACAAGATGTATGTATGTATTGTATATACAATTCAAATGAGGAATGAAAATAAATAGAATACCTCTTGTCACATGCCAAACATCGTAATGATGTGTCGTCTGCATCAAGTTCTCATTGTCCACTTCTGTATCTGGACATGGCGATCTATCACTATCGTACCAATCTCCATCCAGGTAATAGTACGCTCTAATCCTTTCTTCTCCATTCCCAAACTGTTTCAATTTTCTAAAATCTGAATCCGATTTAATACAATTAATCATCTCTTCACTGAATCCTTTTTAATATTTAATTCGCATGCATACTTTGTCAAATCTTATCAGAAACTTTGGAGTAATTCATGATAAACTTTGAACAGTGACCAAGGGAGTCCAATAACCAGGGGATCTCCTCTCTCCAAAGCTCGACCTGATGGTGATTGTCCCATACACGAGCAATTACCGGAAACAAAATGGCTGGCTGGTATGGACTGAAAGCTTATCTGGTAATGGTAGCAAAAAAATAATTAAAGAGGGTATATAAATACTTCATAATAGAGTTCAGTTATAAGGATCAGCAAATGAATGAATATGTAGCAATCCCTGGATAAAGTATGTCTTTTTCGAGCATAGGGGTCATAGTCCATACATGTACATGTTCAAATATAATAAATGTTTTTTAAAAAAACTTCATCCTTTACTCTTTGATTTAACTAAGTAAAGTGAAGCTTAAATTTTGATCTACTATCTATTTAACTAAAAGCAGATTTCTTGACAGCGTAGTTAATATTGATTGATTGATTGTATATTGTTTAACGTCCCACTCGAGAATTTTTCACTCATATGGAGAAGCGTAGTTAATAGAAAAACGTTACTATCCATAGGGAATCAGGTTAAAGTACCGGTTATACATGTATATTGCAATATAAATCAAAGATTAAATTACAGCATTTTACAGTCATATGTTACAATAAGTTACCTCCTTATTCCATGCAGCAATCTTTAAACTACGTTTTCCAATTCGTGATGATTCTGTCTGACATGCCATAGACACACTCTTCTCCTCCTATAATAAACATACAAGAGATAGTAATCCATCCGTAGAAGTAGAATTATGAGATACATATTTTACAGCAATATTCTTCTCTCTTCTCTTTCATAATTCTTGCATAAATGGTTCACTTTATTCTTCCATTCAAGAAATGTAGAACAAGTGCAAGTTGTTTTTGTTTTCTTAAAAATTTCAGAATAATTTACTCATACACATATGGACTTATTGCATTGATACACATTTTATTTAACATGTTTAAGCATTGTGGACATATTAAGCATGGAATTTAGTTTGGGTTAAGTAACTGAAATTCAGAGGAACATAGCGCTGAAGAATGTAATATCCATGCTAACCACATATTTCAATTTTAATTGAACAAGTCTTCAAGACATTAGAATTAATGTACAGGATTTATAATTAATAACGTCATTAAACGGGGCAAGTGAACAAATTTATTTATACCTACTTTTTTTATTTGGTATATTTTGGTTGACCTGATCAAACTGTACAGTTATCTAAATTATGCCCAAACAAAACGAGATAAACATATTTCTTACTACATATCGGATCCTCACCAATCTATCCTTGTTTAATACACTATGCATAATAACTAAATTTTCAGTTGTAAAATTCATTGTTAAATTCATGGAACTTAGGACCGAGAACCGAAAGTTAAATAGTAAGTTGAATACCGGTTTAGATCAGGATCAACATGTAGAAATTATTATAAATGAGAAGAAAATGACATAAGATGAGAATCTAGAATTCCTTTCTAGTTATCATGGTAATGGCCTAACAGATAAATAAATGATGTATATGGAATAAAAAGAAAAACATGATCAAATAATCCTTTCTCTCCGTTGGTTTCGTACTAAATGAGTAAACATATAAAAGTCATGGTCCATAGAACGTACCAAATTACACTCTATCTCCCTCTCTCTCTTTTAAAGATGTTATTACATTCCGGAACAGGCGTGGAAAAGGGAACGAACAGGCGTTGTTTGGATCCAAACACATTCATCCTGGTCTTGTGGCTGTTCTTATACTTCTTCAACACTTGTGTATTTCATGAAACATCTCTGAAAATATCTGCAATGAAATAACGATTTTTTTTAAACAGGTATAAAGAATACTAATCTGAATGATTCAGACATTACAGTGAAAACTCAATGTGATTTATTTTCTGTTTAACAAAAAAATCCAAGTAAAGCAGTTTCGGTGCAAATTTATTAAAATTTTTTAAAATTATTCTTTTTTATATCTAATATTTTCTTTATTTTAAATCCAAATTTACTCATAAAAGTCTACAAATTTCTGAAGTTAACATTAGTTTTATCGAATTACAAACACATACAGAACCAAAGAACTAACTCTGTTCCTCTTGCGCTTTCTATTGGTTCCTTGCATTGGAGTCCAAGGGGTGTTTACATGGGAAAACTTCAAGAACAGGTCGTTCAGTTCTTCACGTTTCCCCTGGTGTAGACGCTTCTTGGTAGGAATCCCGATGTCCTTCATGAGCGTTGACTGACTAACATATTATGCGCGAACGGACTTTGTGCGAATGTGTTTAAGAGCGAACGAATTCAGGGCGAACTAGAAAACGAGCTGACGGCATCAAAATAGAACGCGTTTCATGGCGATCGAACATACAAATAGTCATGTACAACTCATTGCAATCCTCTTTGAATTGGTCCTGCAGATAACTGTATAGTTCAAGGGACCAGACCAGTCTACCCTCGTCAGCTACACAAAACGACACCAGGCCACTCACAGTCGCTCATCTTTTTGAAAAACATGAACCGATACGCCATCTGACTATTGCTACATCCTGCCAAAACACACACGCGTCCGAAACTTTATTGGCCATTAACCCTTGGAAAATACACAACTCACTCGGATACTTTCTAATAATGGCGCAAACTGATTTCGTGTGACGTAACGTACACGTAAAGGTGTGTATTCATTATCTTTTCAGTTTGGGGGCAATACCGTAAATCTGGATTTTTTTGCTGTAGATAACTTTTTAGCAAATTTGCAATTTTATCGCATTCGCAAAAATATTTTTCTTAAAAAAAATTACCAATAAGAAAATGTATCAAAGCAGTGGTCATTCGCAAAATTTTGAAAAGTAAAAATTAATCAACAGCATTTTGACCCGAATTGGCAAAATAAAATCGATGTAAAAATTTCGAGATTTACGGTATCTCCTTAATGAATTACATTTCGTTTAAAAAACTTACTTTAACCTACAATAACCAATCTCGTAGTTACAGAATGTACTTACTTTCGGGAACAATAACCTTAAATGTCCTTTCCACTGTAGAATTCGGGAGACCAGGAACAGTAGATCTGCACATGATGATCGACTCTGTGTTTTCTGTAAAAATCCACCAAAAAAATAATGTCACTGACATACATCCATTAAACAAAGTTTAGAATAAATAAACATATTTAAGAATAATCATTACTTCATTGTAACCGTCCCGCCCTTCTATGAGATTGATAAAAAATTAATCATTAACAAATAGTATTTTATCGTTATTTAGAATGATTATTATTCAAATAAAAAATAATTATGATAATTTGTAAATTGAGACAATTTGTTGATATGCCTTTTTTTCAATTAAAAGTATGTAAAAAGAATGAGAAACCTTTCAGTTTTATGTCATATGCTATAAATTGCACTCCTTCATCGTTTTGCATGTCTTCCACCCTTCCCTCCAAGAGTTCGTCACCAATCATGATCGTAACATTAGCCTTGGGTGTACTGCCCTTCACCATGCATTCTGGACTGTACAGTCCTGGATCAACTTCAATTGTGTATAGAGTAGTAAGGTTGTCGAGTGTCAGGGTTTCTATCATAGACTGGTTAATCCTGAAGGACATTTCTGTGATTGGTTCTGTTAAATATTGAAGTAATGAATAGAGATTATGCTCAAAAATCCCTCCAAATAGTACATCAGGAGCAGAGCAAACGCGGACATTAACATCTTCAGAGGTGGGATCAGGTGCCATGACATAGTTAGCATCCCCTATCGATCAGGTTTACCCACCGTTTGCTTCTTGTCATAATTTGACAAATGGATATCAGTAGAAAATGCAGTGTCGAAATAATTACCAATTTATTTGCATTAAAATTTTTGATCAGAATTCAAGTTTAAAAGATATTTATTTAATGACAAGGTTTACAAAACATAATCAATATTTTACAAGTCCACTGAAACAATCCTGTTAGTTTCGACCTCTTGTCCTTTTACCTATTTTTCTAAAACGTAAAGAGTACCATGCGAATATTCAGCAGATTTTTGACACATAGAGTGTACTTCTATGGTATTTAGCATGTGCACTGATTTCAAAAAAACATAATGAAAAATACAAACGTCATCATTCACTTGAACTTTGACCTGCTTAGTGCTGTTATCCTATAAGTTGACAAATCTATCCTATCCTATCGTGAATCCTACATCCACAATCCTATCCTGTGATTTCAGTCTAATCCTATCCTATTCTATCCTGCAACTCTCAGTTTTTTAATATTTAGGAATTAATTCGTAATTAAAGGTGGGCTAGTACTGATTTTGCAAACATATGTAAATAAATTGGGCTACCAGAAGAATATAATCAGTGTTTTCATTTTCCTACTAACAATGACCGGGAGACCCGGGATCGCGACTTGCGTTCGGCGTGTTATAATTAATTATTTTTAAAAATCAAAGGCCTATACGGTAATAATGTTTCATGTAATTTTTTTTTCCTAAACTGGGCACCATGAAAATGACATGCATGTACATGTATAGTCTAACTGTGCTTGTATAACAGGTTTTTCTGTATGCAATTCTAAAAAAAAAAAAGATATGACTAGACTATAAACCAAACAGACAAGTCAAAATTTAGATCTAGAATATCCTGACTTTCACATATTAAACATTTTCAATGTAAAATTGTCTGATAATATCTAATATTAAATGCATAATTTATTCTTATTGAAAATTTCGGTTCATCATCTGTTGTATGTGATATTTTTCAAACATGAAAAATATATAGTTGCTAAATAAAATTCAAGATAATCGATATGTTATTTTTTTTTCATTTTACTTCAGTGTCTTCTGAGTTTATGGTCACGCAAGTGAGTTAAGGCTAAATATGGATATTCTATGCAAATGAGCTAATAAAAATGCATATATATATAGTTGTATATTTTATGTACAGAGAAAGTTCAAATTGATTTTTTTATACATACTAAGTACACTTTATTCATGCAAGTGTACATTATGACGTCATATTATAACGTTAATGTTCTCTCCCATTCAAGGCAATAAATCACATCAACAAAATCATGTTGGTGCAAGGGCATATCGTATCTAATCTAAAATAAATAATGTATAATATTAAGGAGAATATAATCAATATTAATAATATTGCTGCACAATTCCTATGCACTTTCTCAATAGATAAAAATTTTAGGAAACTTGCACTGGACTGTGAATATTTTCTCTGTTTAAACCTAAAACTGCACGGATAGTAACTAAACTTTGCAGTGCCGACATTTGTGCAGCAATGTCTTAAATCCTTGGAATATCCTGCGTCTTTTTATATATTTTCTACATTGTTATTGTCTGACAGATTGACAGTAATAAATATTGTATTGAGGTCAAACATGTTCCTTAGATCTTATAAAACACGCATAAGGAATTAAAAATTCACATTAAATACAGTTACTGTATTTTTAACTCATACTTGAGTAAGCCAGGTTTGTATATGACCTTGGTATTTGATCTTAAATGTTAATCAGTGTCTGATTGAGAAATATTAAAATGCTCCACACATGTTCCTTATATCTTATAAAACATACATAAGAATTCATAGTATTTACAGTATTCTTGAGTTAACCTTGTATTTGACCTTGAAATTTGATCTTAAAATTTCAGTGTTTAAATGAGAAAAATACTTTATCAAATTCACAATATTTTAATTCAAGATGATTCCTCAACAATGTTTAACAATTGAATATTCCATTACCATGAGACAAAGTCATTAAAAGTATCAATGCACAGCATTTATGAATTTCAATGCAAAGATCACAGACACATGTTCATGAATTTTGTTTAAATTTAAGTTTATTAATGTTGTTATTACAGTTGTATAATGTTTTACATGCATATAATTTGGCTTTCTAATCCGACGCTCAAATTGAAATTCAAATGTCAGAGTTATTGTCAGAGAGATAATCATAAACTGAACAGTTCCACAAATGTCAACAATGCACAGAAGACAAACACTGATCTCTTTGATAAAAGCACCTTGATTTCAGACTTGGGACTCTTTGACACTGGTTTGAACATATCTTTCATCGTTTACTCTAACAACATATGGCATGAACTGCATTCTGAACAGCTGCAAATGTGCGGTGTTTCCTGAAAAAAAAAACATTATAGGCATGTAGATTGTAAATTTTGTGATACACATTTCATACACATTTAAAATGTTTTTGATTGTGATTATCTTTCACATATCATGTACAATTGGCTTTAATTTCACCTTTGTCTCTCCCAAAGTAATGCATTTAGAAATCATGAAAAAATAAAATCTTATACTGCAACCTCACTCAGAAAAAATAAAAAAAAAAAATCTTATTTAGCATATTTTACTTGTACAATAATTCATAATTCATTTTATCTTGTCAACTTGCTAACAAGTATGAGTACATTTGTTTTAGTGACTTTTCTCTATTTTCTGCTTGTATTTATCCATTAATGTTTTTTTTCCTTGGTTTTTTTTTTGGTCTTGAAATTTGAATATGAAAAAGAAGAAGAAAATATATATTTTCCAACAACATGATGACAAGAAAAATTCAACATTTCTTTCAGTTTTACTCTCAAGATTTTTGAAAGAAGAAAATCACTTGTTCCGAGAAACTGCAGACATGTCACCTCAACTCAGATAATGTTGTTTATGTATTTTAATCAATTAATGACCATGCAAAAATACATGAAAAAAAAATCATACATACTTTTTAGATTAAAATCCTTTATACTGTGATGACGCATGAGTGCAGGCAAATCCATTTTCTGTAATGATGAATATTAAAATATAAACGTATGTTTCATAACTCACAATACATCATACATAATGTGCAATATGTAATTGCACTGCTGATTGAGCTCATTTAACATATAACAAGTAGCATTAGAAATGGTCATGATGATTTTACATTCATAATAAATTACACTGAAAAGAAAGAAACTTTTTTCTTACATTATTAGGGAAATGATAAGAGTATAACAACCTGATTAAGGCATAATATATATGATTGTTTTAGTCTTAGAGCTCATTGATAGCTGATTAAATCATATGACAGAATATTTGTAAATGTTTACCCCCCCCCCCCCTTCTGTCAATTCTACTTCTTTTTTCCGCACCCAATTTTTGTTTATAGCGAGCGCAGCGAGCGTCTCGAAGCGACGCTCGTAACTGCGAGCTCTAACGACAACGCCTGGGCGAAGAGAAAATTCGGACTACTGCACATTCATTCTTTAGAATTTTTTGCCGCAGTAATTTTGACCCACAATGCATCACTTAGTAAAGTTGCGTTCTCGTGAGAAGGACGGCAAATGTACAACAAAACGTTTACTCGCCTTTATTGAATGGATACACATTGAAGATAAATAGTAAAGGTAACTTTTTTCAATAACTTTCAGCACTGTTCAGTTTTTTCTTGGCATTTGTAACTTACATACGACTTCATGTGACGTCATAGTCTAGACGTACCAAATGTCACGTGCGGTTTCACGAGCCCGATCTAAATTAAAACAATAGAGAAGTTTTCGCTCGCTCTTACGGTCGCACCGTCAACATATTATTAAATAAAATAAAATGTTTATAGTTTAAGACATTAGAACATTGTTTAACGGGATAAATATTTATAAAAATGCAAACATGTCCAGTGTACAATGTGTAGTATACTTACATGATCTCGCACATCATCTTTTCAAGTCCGCTGTTGACGGTTCCTGTGGAATTATCCAAACAAACAGAGCATATTTAACAGAAAAACATGTTATAACACTTTTACACAAGTAAGACTCGGTTAAATAATCCAAACAAGCCGAAGAAATACGGTTTATCGATGCCTGGACTCTTCGTTGTTTACATTCCCAAATTCTTACGGTGATCGTTCACGGTTATATCGTACGCCGTGTTACTCTAAGTTTATAATGTAAATCTGTGTTTAGAGGAAAGATTGTTTTAAATTTCTATTTAAATTTCATAAATATTTTTTTTTATAAACATTTTATATCGTATTTCGTTTTTGTAATTTATTCTGAAATATGAATGAACCTTTGCTCGAATCTGATTGGCTGTAGGATACAGGATAGGATAGGATAGGATTGTATTAACTTTGATATGTTTCTATCGTGAATCCTCAATCCTGAATCCTATCCGATCCCATCCCATGTCAACTTGTGTGAAAGCAGCACTGTAAGCATGTGCACTGATTGTAACAAACATTATGAAAAATACTAGCGTCATCATTCACTTGAACTTTGACCTACTTTACAGGGAGTACACCGACAACGTAAAGAAGAAAGTACGGTATGCGCAAAAATCTGCCCTGTCCCAAATTCTAATTAAATTGTTCTTGAAAGATGTCTAGAGTGACCACTTCCTAAATCATTTTAATTTTTGTTATTATCTCAAACCATTTCTCCTAGAGAGCTCTTTAAGTATAGGATGTTTTCGTAAGAAAATAACGCTATGACGTTATGACGTCAACTTGACGTTATCGGATTTCAATATTTTAATCCCGATACAGCGCAAAAAAATGAACTCAAAAAACAAGCTACAACTTACTCTTCTGTTCCCTTTGTGAGCTATTCTTAAAATGTAGACTGCGTTTAATATTTGCTGAATTCAAAAATTAATTTGTTTTACTTGAAATACCGGTATTGTTGGTCATTGATTTTGCTACTTTTTCCGAGAAAACGATTCATCAAGAAAGGCGATGGAACATGATTTATAGATTGAAGAATTTTATGATCACGAATAAATCTTAAACTTCTGGATGAACGATATATCTTTCTTTTATTCACGTTGTTTTGTGTGTGTGAGGGTGTGTGTGTATACAGTTTAAGTTTGTAAATAGAAAACAAACACGAGGACATAAATGAAATACAGGCACCAGTGGCGGATTTAAGCTTGGGCGCAACCGGGGCGCTCCTTCCCCCTAAAATTGTCAAACTTAACGTAAATCACAGTTTCGTATAGAAAATGTAAATATGTATACTTGGTACACCTCATTTTTACCCTACAAAATCTGTAGAATCCATGAGCTTCCAGACCCCTTGCCTACATTTGGCACCCCCTCTAACTTGAATTGCTGGATCCGCGCCTGGGCACGTAGCATCGTTTTTGAAAGTGTGGGGGAGGGGGGCAACCGGAGGAATTTTTTTACTTACCTGAAAAAGTTGACAAGCAAAACAAACAAACAAACAAACAAAAAAACCCCGAAAATTGAAAGTTGCCCAAACTCGAAAATCCTATTTCGTGGGGGGGGGGGGGGGGGGGCAACTTCAAAGTCAAATTACTTTCACTTCTCTACTATGGTAAAAAGTGGGGGGGGGGGGCAACCATCCTTTCAATGTACAATTACTATAGTAAAGGTAATGTTGGGGAGAAAAGTGGGGGGGGGGGCAAGCCCCCCTGTTGCTACGTCCCTGAAAAAATTGCATACGACATTGTTCGTGCATTATGGTTCTTTATGCGAATACAAAAGTTCACATGAACTTATTTTTTTCAACATTACAAAAAATGTGTGCAAAAACATTCAAAAGAGATACGATGTCTTTTTTGTAAATAATTTGCATTGAAAAGTCCCTTTCTGACAAGTCATGTCAGAAAGGGACTTTTCATGATCACGTGAAATCATTAATCCAGCCTTAGGATTTTCAGTATTATTGAATCATGGTTAGTAACACACCCTCCCCAAACACACACCCCGACCTCCCCTTTTTTTTGATTCACACGTAATGCACATTCTTTACTGCCATCATGTTCACTAAATGGAAATATCTAACCTTGGTATTTTTAACGATGTCTTTTGTTTACTTTTTATTTCAGATCTTTGTTACGCCCCGAAATTCTGGAACATGTAGTTGCTGCAAACCTTGCACATTAGCTATCAGAATTTCGGAGCAAAAAAGAGATCTAATTTAAAAAAATTCTCCAGAGGTTAAACATCGATATATCATTAATAATTATGCTCCATTGACATAACAATGCTTTAAAATTAAAATGTGGAATATAGATTCTTCAGAGTTATACTGGCACGTAGCAAGTTTTTCCAAACATTACGGCTTTTACTATTGAAAATGTTCATTGAAAGACTGGGTCACTCTCCCTCCCCTCAGCTTTTACTACCGTAAAGTGATATTAGGGAAATATAGTACCTTATACCAAGAATAGATATTGAAGAAGTCGGCACCTGAAAAAAATTGGCCTATCTGAGCTAAAAATAACTACGAGATTAGGAATTATTTTTAAAGATGATATTCGGTATCTACGTTCAAATTAAATTTTTTCTCAAATTTAAACTTAAATATTCCCAAGTTTCTGTGGGTTAGATTGACTTCAAACTGTGTCAAATATTTTTTATCCGAGCCGGAAATGAATATATAAGTTATTGTTTAAATCTCGGATATCTATGAAACGCAATTGATTTAAATTGTGTAATTTACAGGAATTCCGATCTTTATATAAAGTATTCTTAAGCGAATATACATGTACAAGTACTTTGTGAACATTGTATCTAAATCTAACTTTTTTACACAACACTCCTTTACAATGAATATACCTTTACAAGATGATGTGACACGGATTAATGAGAACTAAGTTTATTTAACTTTTATATACTGTACATGGGGAAAATAACTCGCGGTGTTAATATTCGCTATATTCACGGTGTTAACAAATTCGTGAATTAAAGAAACAGTGAATAAGTTTTGAATAATATCCATGTTTTATTTAAAATTTTGAGAATAGATCTAGACTACGATAGGTTTATATACATATGTACGTGTAGTACCTGATCATGATCCCCAAAAAGTTTTGTGTTTGAATTTTCTTCTTAAAAAGTGACTTATATGTCGCTTCCCAAGTCCGTTACCATTTGACGTTTCAGGGATCCTTGACAGATAAATAATGACAGTCATTTTAGTTTATATAATTATGTGGCAATTTTAAGTTACTAGAAAGGTGAAAATAGGCCCTTTTCTTTAATTCATCGTGTAGTATGTAAAAAAAAGTCTCTTAAAATAAAGGCTGGTGCATTCAAAAGTTTATCCAGAGGTGCAATAAGCAACAAATATAGAGCGTGAAATTAAATATCAACATTTTCAGACTATCATTTTTAGCTGGGCTTATTGCTCAAAGAGCAATTGCCGGCTTATGTGATCCTGTTCATGTCAGGATGTTGACCCCATAGTCGCCATTTTAAAGTTACGCAAAAATATAGTTCTTACTCTCAAACTGCTTTTGAGATAATACAAACACTAAATAAAGCAACAAAAATAAAACGAAGTTTTATCTATATAAAATAAACATTAGTAGTAATGACTTTGAAAACTTCATAAGTCAAAGAACATAGTTCATTAGCGTAAGGATTTTTGATAATCAGTGTTACCGTAGTTCGCTACACATACGAGGTAAAGCAGGAGAGGGAACCAGACTGGCCTGTTTGTTTACATTCAGCTGCGGTACCAGATTAATTCTGATTCTGACAAAATCGGACCGTGGTATTAGGATTGAAAAACTCACTGTCAGTGTCTTATCATTTATATTGATAGTTGTGAAATAATTTTTTCATTAGAATATAAACGTGATTCATGTAAGAAATCCATTCTACTCTGTGAATGAGCCCGGCTCTCTGAACTTCTGAGTACTTTGATTTATATTAAACATCTGGCTGGGGGGGGGGGGGGGGGGGGGGTTTATAATATATGCATGTTCGTTTATACGAGAATGCAACCATATATATACAGAATATTGATAATTTTGAACAGATCTTGCAAAGGGTTATTGTAAGTGTTTTAGAATAATAAAAAAAAAATAAATTATAAGAAAATCAAACTGGATCTATTTTGACGTCATCGTTTGCGTTATTACGTAATTTATTCACATCTGCTGACGGGTAGCTTTGAACTCTCTCAGTTTCCAAAATAAAATCCAGGCCCTTTTTCTTCTTCTGTACTAATACGATTAATCAAATTTACAATTTTTTGTATTTAAGTGTCTTCGTTGGTTCTTTATCCTTATTCAAAGTATTTGACAGATGCAGGTTACACATCGCAGGGTCCATCGTAATCTGCCTTATTATCCTTACATATTTTCCAGGCTTGTATGCTATTTTTCATGACTAATAGACTACCATGTAAAATAAATATATATTGCCGATGCATATAGTATTAATTTATTAACATTTTATGAGCTATGGTGACTTAATTTAAAATAAATAAAATTACACCTCTCAATGAGCTTTCAATCCGCCACCGGAAATACTGATGTAAAGTCAAAATAAACATACTGCACATTCCTCGAGCAAAATCTTATCGCTGTTTTCATCCGTCTATCATCAAAATGTTTTGAAATATACATGTTTTATTTTGCTCGCGGGATGTGCACTACTTCAATTTTAGAAATATCTGTTAAAAATAGTGGAAAAACTAGCAATTTCCGGAAAAAAACGGATCTTTACACGTGGTGTATACGTCTAATTAACTGAGTTTGGAAATTTTGCTTCGCATATTTTAAAACAACCAAACTTCTAGTATATGCACACAGACTTTATAATTTGGTAAACCTGTGTATTAAATTACGGAAAATAGTGGGCCTCCGTATTATAAGTAACGTACTTAATTCTTTCTGAAAAGTAGATCAATTTTGAGTGGTGGTGTTGATGATTAACATTTATACAAGTTTATAAGCTTATAATACTGCTTTTTGAAACCGTATTATATTCAGTGACCACAATCTGGTATTCAAATATTACGAAAATGCATGTACATGTATGTACATTTGAAACGTGATCCCATAACGGATGGTATAGAGTAAAGTCTTTAAAACACGTAAAATGATAAAATAATTATTTAAAATGATCTTAACTTAATTATACATTTAAGGATTGGGATTCATATTTTTGGATTGGCAGACTCTGTCTCCGTCTTATAGTATGTGTGTATGCTTTTGTGCATATATGAACTATCATGTTAGATTTTTTGCATGAAATACTGTATATGTTGTTAGCATATAATAGCTGACCACCCTTTGATTTAGTTGCATCTTTAAAGAAGCTAAAAGCTAAAAGCAGGCGACACATGCGTTCCTTGGAAAACTCTAGTTTGAAAAAGCAACATAAGATATTACGCATCACCACAGTTGCCCTACGTCTTATTTTAATGGTTACATACTTTTCTTGATTATCCTTACCCCTTATTTTAATGGCTACAGACTTTTCTGGATGATCCTTACCTCTTATTTTAATGGCTACAGACTTTTCTGGATGATCTTTACCCCTTATTTTAGTGGCTACAGACTTTTCTGGATGATCCTTACCTCTTATTTTAATGGCTATAGACTTTTCGGGATTATCCTTACCTCTGATTTTAATGGCTACAGACATTTCTGGATTACGCCTATCCCTGATTTTTATGGCTATAGACTTTTCTGGATGATCTTTACCCCTTATTTTATTGGCTACAGACTTTTCTGGATGGTCCTTACTTCTTATTTTAATGGCTTCAGACTTTTCTGGATGATCCTTACCCCTTATTTAAATGGCTGCAGACTTTTTCTGAATGATCCTTACTTCTTATTTTAATGGCTACAGACTCTTCTGGATGGTCCTTACTTCTTATTTTAATGGCTACAGACTTTTCTGGATGATCCTTACCCCTTATTTTAATGGCTACAGACTTTTCTGGATGATCCTTACCTCTTATTTTAATGGCTACAGACTTTCATGGATGATCCTTACTTCTTATTTTAATGGCTATAGACTTTTCTGGATTATCCTTACCTCTAATTTTAATGGCTACAGACTTTTCTGGATGATCCTTACCCCTTATTGTAATGGCTACAGACTTTTCTGGATGATCCTCACCTCTGATTTTAATGGTTCCAGACATTCTAGCAACAAGGTCATCCCTAACCCATTTCCCTCTCTCCTTCACTTGTTTTAAAACTTCACAGGTCAAGTTCCCAGCATCTGCCTTCTGTAAGTCTAATATACATCAAAAGAAGAAAGGATGTTTGTTATTTGAATTTCGCTTAAGGTCAAAATCTAGTAAATTAGTTGTTCATCAAATTTGAGAAAAACATTCCTATGAAAATGCTTTATTACATTAACTTGGTCAAATTATATTTTTATCAAACTTCATATGCTGATACATGCTGATGTTACGTTATTCAACTGCATCAAATATTTTTGACCTTGACCTCACTATTGACTTTGACTTTGCTCTTCTTTAGAAAGTGTTACACTTTATATTCTGATACAAACTGGTGGCAACTATTAACTGCATCAATATTTTAGGCCTTGACCTTTCATTTGACCCTAACTTCGCTTTTATTAATTTGTGTTTAGCTCAGTTTTAAAGAAACCACTCATAATATTTTTATCAAACTTCAAATGCTAATACAAACTGATGTATAAGCTTTTTAACTGTTTCAATATTTTTTTACCTTGATCTTACCTTTGAGATTAATTACATTTATTTTTAAATAAGTGTTTAAGGTTCATAAAGCCTCTGCTCAGTTACCTTAAAGATTTTCCAAAAGAAACATATTTTAGAAGTAAAATATAAATAATTATAGCATAGCTTGCGGGGCAAATTTGGACAAAAAAGACACTTCAAGACGACAAATTTATTAGGGAATAATAGAAAACTTTGTGGTTAAGATTTATATCTCTTATCAGACGTTAACTCACTTTTTAAATGAATAATACAAAATATATTAACATGCTGATATGTTTTTGTAAGAACTATTCAAACACAACAAAAATGTTTGACCTTTATCTTTTTGTGAACTTTCTTGTGACCTTGACCTTCCTTCTTTTTTTCATTTGCATTTTACTTAGTTTTAACGAAAATATCAAATAGATACTTATGTAAGCCTATGCACATCTACACTATTTTATGAGAATCATTCATAGAATCACCATTTTTTTAAGATTTCAATTTTAATTTTAAGAAAACTTTTGAAGATATTCTCATCAAATTTCAAAACACTAATACGCTGCATTCATGACATACCCTCAGCGGGTCATTCATGTCCTATGGAGATATTTCTAGTTTAAAACTATCATTTCAATGAAAAATTAAGAAAAAGGTATGTAATCCTTGTGAAAAGTAAATTGACTCTTTGACCCTAGATTTTGACCTAATTTATGGGAGAAATTCTCACTTTGGTGATGGCTTGTACTAAAACACAGTTAGATTATTCGAAATAAGTAACAAACCATAGATCAAGTTTAATTATTTAAAAAAAATTGATTTTTTAACCATGTAAAATGCGCTGTTCTGATCAAAGCATGTATGTCTTGTAAGGAAATTCAGAGAATTGTGGTACCCCACTTTTGGAGTCTTTGTGTGTGAGATGTCATTTTTAGGGCATATTGTGTCAAATATGAACGCCCTTTTACAGTGTATGTGTAATTCAGAAGTTATCACCTTTTTTTTAATTAGATCAATCCCTAAGTTTACGGGGTAAGTCATCATAGCATGTTTGTCACATGGGGCATGTCAAATATTAAATCTGCTACCGGGGGTCATGGTTTGAACAAACTTGAATGTACACTACCCGAGAATGCCTCTATATAAATATAATTTATCAGGGCTTTGCTGTTCTTGAAAAGAAATTTAAAAAAAAAAATTCCTTTATATTTCTACGTAAAAATTTGAGCGTCCATTGTGGCCCCGCCATACCCCTGGAGTCATGTTTTGAACAAATTTGAATCTACACTACCTAAGGATGCTTTCAAATAGATAAGACAAATTATGGTTTTGTTGTTCTTAAGAAGATTTTTAAAGATTTTTCTTTATATTCCTATGTAAAATTTTGATTGTCAACTGAAGCCCCGCCTTACCCTCGGGGGCCTGATTTAAAAAAAATTGAATATACACTGCCCAAGGATGCTTCCATATAAAGATAATTTATCATGGCTTTCTTGTTCATAAAAAGAAGAATTTTCAAGTTTTTTCCTATATATTTCTATGTAAAACTTTGATCATCAGCTGTGACCCCACCCTACCACAGTGGGTGATTATTTGAAAAACCTGAATTTAAACCTCCATGAGGATAGTTCCATATAAATATGACTAATCACGACTTTGTTGTTCTTGAAGAGAAGAATTTTAAAGGTTTTTCATATTCATTCCCATGTAAGACTTTCATCAGCCACTATATCCCCCCTTCTCCTGGGGGTCATGATTTGAACAAACTTGAATGTACAATACCTGATGCTTCCACATATAGATTCATCGTCGTTCAAGACCAGGTAGTTCTTGAGAAAAATGATTTTTAAAACACCAAATTTCATCATTTCTTTATTATCTCCCCTTGAATAAGGACCTGGTCATTTCTTTATTATCTCCCCTTGGATAAGGACCTGGTCATTTATTTGAACAAACTTGAATCCCCTTTACCCAAGGATGCTTTGTGGCTAGTCTAATTGAAGTGGGCCAGGGGTTCTGGAGAAGAAGTCGAAAAAGAGTTCAACGTTTACAGACAGACGCCGGAAAAAAATATAATCAGAAAAGCTCACTTGAGCTTTCAGCTTAGGTGAGCTAGAAAACCCAGTGTGTCCAATTCACTAAACCTCTACTAAACCATTTGACTTCAAAATCAATAGGCATCTTCTTTTTTGGCCATAGGGAGTTATTGTGTAGAATTTAATTGAATATTCAAAGGCTTCTCAATATATTGTTTTGAAACGAAAGTGTTACAGAGTGACAGAAAAAAGGTGGGGGGGGGGGGAGGTCATAGTTACGTGTAGTATTCAGCATTGCATAAAATATTAAATTGTAAAAACTCAAAAGCTTCTTCAGATATTGCAGTATATAAAATATTTACACACACATAATTTATAAATACGGCCTTAACCTATTTGACCTTTTGACCTAAAAATAAATATGGGTATAGGGATCTGTTTTTAGCCATGGGAAGTTATGATATGAAATATCATTGTAATAGCTCAAAGGTTTATGGAGATATCAGATGGAAACGAAAGTATTAAAACAGACAGAGTTTTTGAATTAATGCCCCTAACCTTCGACTTTTGACCCCTATATCGATAGAAATCCTCCTTAGGCCATGGGCAGTTATTCTGTTAAATTTTATTCTCGAGATAACGCGTGGAAACGAAAGCGTACGGAACAGACAGAACTACAGACTGACGGACGGACAAGCAAAATTAATATCCCCTATTTTCGATTAAATTCCATTCATAAACAAGTAATTACCGAAAATCATTTTTTTTGTTGGGGGGGGGGGGCTTTTTCATATACAGGCTTAAAGAGAATACTGGATCCCGTTTGGGGACTTGTGTCTGCCCATGCAATACCCTCAGAATGCTTGTTCCTAATGTTCAGGGGGAAAAATCGTTGAACTGACCTTGCTATTAATATACAACGATCAAATTTAATTTCAGTTTAAATAATGAATACCACCACTAGGTCATATTGTCATCTTGAATCAAAGAAAATACAAGAAACATCAAAAAAATATATTTCTTTAGGTAGTTCATTCATTTTCGCGAAACTACTTACCCATTATGGTGAATTCAAAGCTGATGTTATTGGCCTGTTGAAACAACACATTGCAATCATACTTGTTTTCCATTGAGGGCTCTTCAAATTCACAGAGACTGGTCAGCTTGCGGCTATTGTGGTACCACGTGACCTTGAGTTTACTGTTAATGTAAAGAGCACCCTGTCCATTGGGTATGTTACACAATGCTGTTAAATTCTCTCCCTTGTTAAGCATGGCTGATGCAGGTGAAAAAGACACCGTATACTCTGCGGCCTGAACTATCCCTAAAAGTAGCATAATTATCACAATTATGAAATCAATTGATGCTTTTTGGATAAAGTAAAAATTGCAGCAGTTTCGGGCTTCTGAATATAAGAGAACACAAAATATATAAAGGACGATAGAAAATAGATATTTTATACTGTTTTTCCTCGTTTTCATTGAATAAAGAGGTCTCAAAGCTTACCATTTTAATGAAATATTATATTTCAAATTCAAACACAATCCATAACTTTGTATTAATTTTTATACGTGAAAATATATTAAAAAAGCAGGATATCTAACAGATAAGGCTTGTCATTATTCATGCATTTTTCAAAGACTATTTTCATAACAACCAAACTGAGTGTCTTTTTAATGCTTAGGTCATTGTTTGCAAACTGAGTTTTTTACGGATATATCCGTTTGTCAGATCATTATAAAAACAAGCGACAGTTACAGTTTGACTGATTGATTGTGTGTTGTTTAACGTCCCTCACGAGATTTATCACTGATATAGAGACGCCACCACCTGCCGGTGAAAAGCTACCAATTTTATCCTATACTCGCCAAAAAGGGCCATTGAGCAGTGAGGGATCTTTTTCATATCAACACCTACTGCATCTACTGTGACACGGAACGTCAGTTTATACGGTCTCAACCGAGGGATCGATCCCACAGTGGGATTCAACCCGCAACGTAACTTTGATTACTGATTACTGTTCGTTAACTCAATATTTCATCTCTGTATATATATTCATATGATTTAAATATCTTTTACCATACTTACCACAGTTTTCATCACTGTCATCTCCACAATCATTGTCATTGTCACATCTATAGATGGAAGGAATGCAGCGGCTATTGTCACATTTAAACTCTGTACTCTTACAAGTTAGGACTGAAATTTCATATTTTAATTACTTTAAATAATATCATGGGATTAAAAATGCTGCTAGCATGAATTACAATACATGATTCCCGTCGTAAAAAAGTTTCATCCCATCCATTCCTTTTACTTTATAGCAAACAATTGTTAGATTTTGAGGCAGATAAAAAATGAATGTGACTTATGGGTGCCGTTACAGAATAAAAATTTGTCTTTCAATTGCCAACTTGAATAAAACACACCAGTTCATTTTAAAAAAAGAAGCCAGAGATAATGTAATGATTTCTAAAAATTGTAGCAGATCAAAACAAAAACAAAAACAATGCTAACAGTGTACCTGCAAAAAATAATTCATTTTATCAATCATTTCATATGAAATGTTATTAAAATATATAAGTAGTGATATTTTAACAGAAAATATTAACTTCAAATATGCGTCCATGTACCTTTAAGTTCAAATGTTAAAAATAGTAGGATCCTTGTAATCCTAGGATTCCGAAACTTCATAAGAATCCTTACAAACAAAAATACATTGCAGGTTCCAATAAATGTTCAACCAAGCCTCTTTCGTTACTTCTCACTAACATATTGACAGTATGAAGGAAAAACTTCAAGAGTACTGTGCAACTATATATTCAAGAAGTGGTGTGAATCAGATGTTGACACAAAAAAAAATTTTAAAGAACTTTTCGACAATTTGAAATCACAAGACTTTACAAAAATAAACAGCTTAAAGCTTACGACTTTTCAACTTTATACACAACAATTCCCCACGACATATTTAAATCCAAGCTTTTTGATATCATTGACAGCTGCTTCTTCGATGAAAATGGAACTCGTAAATTTACTTACCTTGTCATTTGTCATTTGCAAAATTATTTAGTTAAAACAGAATATGATTGCACACATAAGTACTCTGAAGTTGACATCAAGAAGATGCTTGAGTTTCTGATTGACAATATCTATGTGGTTTTTGGAGAACAGGTTTTCCAACAATCTATTGGAATTCCCATGGGTACTAATTGCGTTCCGTTATTAGCAGACTTATTTTTTTATATTCATATGAAGCAGAATTTATGCAAAATCTTACGAAGTAATCACGTACATTTTGTCAAAAACTTCTATTTCCTGAGCAAAAAGACATTTAAGCAAATTTTATTAATTAATTTTTTGTGATGAAATTTCAAATTTAATTTTAATGACCCCCTCCTCTTTCCAACACATACACAAAGTACATTAAAATTGATGCAATAAAATTTAGTTTTTTCCCGACGGTATATCTATGAGACAAACATTTTTTCAATATTTAAAAAAAATAAAGAAAAACTTCGTAAAAACATTTTTTTTATCCCTGTGATATTAAAGAATGGAATTGTCTTAAGACCTTCTTAAGATTTCTTATACTTAAGATAGTTTTGTGACACAGCAGTAACAAATCTTATGATTGTCATGAGTTATATCTTAAGATGATCGTAAGATCTATCTTAGGACAAATCTTACGATTATAGTTTTGTGAAACACAGCCCTGATTTCTAAAAGTTGTGGGAGAGTCTATGAAAAAATAAATGCAAAAATTGTATCTGCAAAAAAAAAATTAATTAAATAAAATAAATAATGTAAAGACGACAACATTTAAATGCTAGACATAGGTTTTTAAGGTCCTATTAAAAACATACAACTTTCACTTCAAAATTTACTTTAATCTCAATAATAGTTTGTTATATCCTTATTTCATCTCTGTATTAATATTTCAAACTAAATACTTACAATAGTTGTTTCCTCCACCACCCCTTCCAAAAAATCCTCTACCAAATCTGCCACATTTATAACGGATACACTCGTCTGAAATTTAAACTTTTAATCACGAGTTTAATTAATATCATAGAATAAAGATATGTACGAGGGATGTTCGGAATTTATTGAGACATTGTGAATATTTGTCTTTCTATTGAAAATTTCTTCGGTGAAAATTTGCATATATTTGCATATACGTTTGACAAACATAACGAATTCATTAAAAGCAAGAAATATTTTACAAATAATAAATTTCTTCTCTTCAATGGTATATAAATGTATCAACGGTAGGGCTACCCGGTGCACTCACGACATCAGATAGTGAAAAATGTAACACCAACGTTGAAACTTACGGTAGACCTATATTAAGAACGCAAATATTTCAATTTTTGTGTATAATTTTCAAAATTAATTTTGATTTCGTGTTGTGCAAAGTTTTTAGAATTTTGATGAGAAATACAGAGACAATTGAAAAAAATTAGGTACTGTAAGGAAATCAGATAACAACGACACAATGGATTTTTACCTCAAGGCGGAGCTGCATATTACCTAAAGTTTCGTGAAGCGCTATTTATAAATCTTTTCTGAACTGACTAACTTTCTAAAACAATAGCTTAGAGATAAACATGTCTAAGAGTTTGGTGTTTTATTGATATGATGTTAGGGCATCCTGTATATACACGGTTTTACACATGTAAACTTTACACTGCGGTAGCAACAGTACATATTTTATAAAAAGATCGTTTAAGATAAGAGACAGGTTGATTTTATTAAATGTTATTTATATATGATAACAAGTTGCTGTCCTTTAAAAAAAGGACTACAATACGTGGACCATATGCATGTGTTTCTAACCGAAATTCAGTTTAAGAAAATTTCTAGGTTAAGTGAATATTCATGTAGGTCTTTCACATTAACTACAATAATTTGCCTACTTTGACTGATAGTGCTCATCATGTTCATACCAAAATTGTAAAATTATATCTCCGATTAGCCAAAAGTTTTATGATTTAAAAAAATCGGGGTATTTTGATATTGGTAAACCGTAAACCCATAACGGCTTGGACTTGACATCTATTTTGGAATTATTCGAAATAAATCTATTGAATTATAGATCTGATGGTACATTTCTTGCTTATGCAGCTCTGTAGTAGGGATATTTTTTTTCGGACCCCCCCTCCCCTCAACCACATGGAAACCCATTTCTACAGACCTGTACCAAGCTGTATTTGGATGCCTAGATGCACATAACAGATGCCGATGAAGACTTGCTGTATCTTTTAAAACCTAGAACTGTTCGTTGAATGAAGTTTTTAATTCAAGTTATTAAGTAATGTAAGTTCTTCCTACTGTTTAAAATGCATGTGTCATAGGATCAGTGGTTAGTTTGTATATAAAAGTATATGTTTAAGAAAGAAATTATTCTAAGGGTAAGTTGTTAGGAGAGAACTCTCCCGCATGCGTATCCTGACGTTTGCCCATGGCATCCGGTTTAACCTCGCTTATATATTTACTGCGTGGACCTCAGGGTCCACGCAAGAAAGACACACATTTCTATGAGACACACATATTTTTTCACCAAAATGGAATTGTCTTAAAACCTTTTTAAGATTTCTTATACTTAAGATAGTTTTGTGAAACAGCAGTGACAAAACTTATGATTGTCATGAGTGAGACCTTAAGATGATCGTAAGATCTGTCTAAGGACAAATCTTACGATAGTTTTGTGAAATGCAGCCCTGATTTCTAAAAGTTGTGGAATAGCCTATGAAAAAATAAATGCTAAAATTGTATCTGCAAAAAAAAAAAAATAAAAATAAAATCAAATAGATAATTTAAAGACAACAACATTTAAATGCTAGAAGACACTGGGCCATAGGTTTTTAAGGTCTTATTAACAAGAGGCCCATAGGCCACATCGCTCACCTGAGCATTGTGGCTAGGAAAAAGCAGAATTGGTTTATACTTGAAAAGCTTAAATCCAAAAGTAGTCCCATGACCAATCATGGCTTTGCTATTCTTGAGAAGATTTTTAAAAATTTTCCTATACATTTCTATGTAAAACTTTGTTCGGGCATTTTGGCCCTGCCAGACCCCTGGGGGTCATGATTTGAACAGATTTGAATCTACAGTACCTGAGGATGCTTCCATATAAATATGATCAATTATGGCTTTGCTATTCTTGAGAAGAAGATTTTTAAAGAATTTTCCTATACATTTCTATGTAAAACTTTGGTCGGGCATTTTGGCCCCGCCCTACCCCTGGGGGTCATTATTTGAACAGATTTGAATCTACACTACCTTAGGATGCTTCCATGTAAATATGATCAATTATGGCTTTGTTATTTTTGAGGAGAAGATTTTTAAAGATTTTTCCTATATATTTCTATTTAAAACTTTGGTCGGGCATTTTGGCCCCGCCCTACCCCTGGGGGTCGTGATTTAAACAAATTTGAATCTACACTACCTGAGGATGCTTCCATATAAATATGATCAATTATGGCTTTGCTATTCTTGAGAAGAAGGTTTTTAAAGAATTTTCATATATATTTCTATGTAAAACTTTGGTCGGCCATTTTGGCCCCGCCCTACCCCTGGGGGTCATGATTTGAACAAACTTGAATCTACACTACCTGACGATGCTTTCATATAAATATGATCAATAATGACTTTGTTGTTCTTGAGATGAAGATTTTTAAAGAAATTTCCATTTTTTTTTGTAAAACTTTGGTCGGCCATTTTGGCCCTGCCCTATCCCCAGGGGTCATGATTTGAACAAAATTGAATCTACACTACCTGGGGATGTTTCCCATAAGTTCCATCATTCCTGGCACAGTGGTTCTTGAGAAGAAGATTTTTATAACATGCCACCAAATATTCATTAATTCCCAACTATCTCCCCTTGAATGAGGGCGTGGCCCTTCATTTGAAGGATACTTTGTGGCAAGTTTGGTTGAAATTGGCCCAGCGGTTCTTGAGAAGAAGTCGAAAATGTAAAAAGGTTTACAGACAGACGGACAGCTATACAGTTGAGAGGTACATTGTGCATTTTACGGAAGGTGCGGGGTTATCATTTTGCTTTGTGGGGTTATTAATAGTAGAGTGGTGACTTGAGAGGTTTCATTAGGAATTCAAACAAATGGTATATTGTGGGGTTAAAGGTCTATATTTGTGGGGTTAAAGATCTATGTTTGTGGGGTTAAAAATTAATTATTTAATATCAAGTCAACTTCACAGGCAACTAATTATAAGTACTTAAAAATGTTACTGTTTATCAGAAAAACTTAGAACGGATATAGCAATAACATTTTTCAACAACTGCATAGCAGTAACAATGCAAAAAAATGTTTTTATTTGAGGATAACTGTTGCATCAAAGTAAATTAACCCATCATGTTTTCACATGAAGATGATAGACAAGAATATCCCAGAAGTGTTAAACAAACAACCCCACTATGCTATATAGATATAACAGACAACACTAACCCCATAAATTATAAGACAAACAACCCCAGTATGTACTCTTAAAAAGATAATACACAACACTAACCCCATTAAGCGTTTGGACAGCAACCCCATTATGTACTCTCATAAAGATAATAGACAACACTAACCCCATAAAGTGTTTGGACAGCAACCCCACTATGTACTCTCATAAAGATAATAAACAACACTAACCCCATAAAGTGTTTGGACAGCAACCCCACTATGTACTCTCATAAAGATAATAGACAACACTAACCCCATAAAGTGTTTGATCAGCAATCCCACTATGTACTGTTATAAAGATAATAGACAACACTAACCCCAGAAAGTGTTTGGTCAGCAACCACTAACCCCATAAAGTGTTTGGACAGCAACCTCACTATGTACTCTCATAAAGATAATAGAAAACACTAACCCCATAAAGTGTTTGGACAGCAACCCCACTATGTACTATCATAAAGATAACAGACAACACTAACCCCATAAAGTGCTTGGACAGCAACCCTACTATGTACTCTCATAAAGATAATAGACAACACTAACCCCATAAAGTGTTTGGACAGCAACCCCACTATGTACTCTCATAAAGATAATAGACAACACTAACCCCATTAAGCGTTTGGACAGCAACCCCACTATGTACTCTCATAAAGATAATAGACAACACTAACCCCATAAAGTGTTAGGACAACAACCCCACTAAGTACTCTTATAAAGATAATAGACAACACTAACCCCATAAAGTGTTTGGACAGCAACCCCACAATGTACTCTCATAAAGATAACAGACAACATTAACCCCATAAAGTGTTTGGATAGCAACCCCACTATGTACTCTCATAAAGATAATAGACAACACTAACCCCATTAAGCGTTTGGACAGCAACCCCACTATGTACTCTCATAAAGATAATAGACAACACTAACCCCATAAAGTGTTAGGACAACAACCCCACTAAGTACTCTTATAAAGATAATAGACAACACTAACCCCATAAAGTGTTTGGACAGCAACCCCACAATGTACTCTCATAAAGATAACAGACAACACTAACCCCATAAAGTGTTTGGATAGCAACCCCACTATGTACTCTCATAAAGATAGTAGGCAACACTAACCCCATAAAGTGTTAGGACAACAACCCCACTATGTACTCTCATAAAGATAATAGACAACACTAACCCCATAACGTGTAACAACCCCATTATGTTCTTATATAGATAAAAGATAACATTAACCCCACAAAGTGTTAGACAAGAACCACAATATGTTCTGATAGAAAATATCAGACATCTTAGTAACCTCAGAGTGTTAAACAAACAACCCCGCTGTGTTCTCATGTAACAGATACCAGTAACCATATGAATTTAAGTGTTTGAAAACCCCAAGTATGTTCTAATATCAAAAAACTCTACCAGGGACTGGTAATAAAAGAACAAGTACCCCCACTATGTTCAATCGCAACTTCTCGTGCCTTTCTGACTAGCTGACAAACGACCTCGAATGTATTAGTTAGACGCCATGGCAACAACCCCCCCCCCCCCTTTCATGATCTTCGAAAT